CACCACTGCACTACAGTCTGGGCAAAAGAGCAAGACTTGGTTTCAAGAAAAAAAAAAAGTAATTGGCAAAAGCTGCCATTACTTTTATATCAACCTAACATTTTAAAAAGTAAACCAACATTTGGAAATTGAGACACTTTACAGAAAAGTCCATAAGTTCTGGCAACCACTGGCCTGTATCCCAGCACGGCACAATCCCGAGCTGAGAACTGGCCCTGTTTTAGCTGGGGCTCTCCAATTTGCTGTGGTCCTCGTTGCTGTTGAAATATTTGCTTTGGTCACCGCTCTTGAAATATTTGTTTTGATGGTGCTTGAAATAAAGCACACATGGCCCTTCACTCTAGCTGCGGGGCTTGAGCAAGGCTCTGAATTCATCTGTACACCTTCCTCTGCACAGTGCCGTCACCAATGTCCCAAATATCGCACATACTACATAAGTATGCACAATTATTATTTATCAACTAAAAAAAGAAGTGCAGCTGGGTGCGGTGGCTCACACCTGTAATCCCAAGTACTTTGGGAGGCTGAGGTGGGCGGATCACCTGAGGTGGCAAGTTTGAGACTAGCTTGACCAACATAGAGAAATCACATCTCTAGTAAAAATACAAAATTAGCTGGGCATGATGGTGCATGCCGGTAATCCCAGCAACTGGGGAGGCTGAGGCCGAAGAATCGCTTGATTCTAGGAGACGCAGGTTGCAATGAGCCGAGATCGTGCCATTGCATTCAAGCCTGGGCAACAGTGAAGTGGAAATTTTGCCCAGGATTTTGTCAGCAGGATGTCAGCAACCATCCCTATTTTTGAAACTGTCTTTATTTTTGTTAGTAACTGCCTCTTTCTGCTTCTGTACCTCAGCTTATTGCTTATTAACTGGAAAACCTTAGGAGAAACTGCCACGTTGTCGAAAACCTGCTGCATTGTCTAAAGTCCTGAGTTCCTTTCCATGCCCTTTTACCTATAAAAATTGTGTAATTTCCAGCTACTCAGGAGGCTGAGGCAGGAGAATTGCCTGAACCCAGGAGGCGGAGGTTGTAGTGAGCCGAGATCGCGCTATTGCACTCCAGCCTGGGTAACAAGAGCGAAACTCCGTCCCAAAAAAGAAAAAAAAAATTGTGTAATTTCTTAGCCGGGATCCAGACTTGGGAGCAAACCCTTCTGGTCCCGCCAGCATAATAAAGTGTGTTCCTCCGGTCCCCTGAGTGCTGCTTGGCTTTCTCATGGGGTAAGATTTTCTAGAACAACAAGAGTGAAACTCCATCTCAAAAACAAACAAACAAAAACAAAGAAAAAAAGTGCAATGAAAAAACTGCTGGAAGCGGGTCCCAACTAATAAAAAAATAATGATTTC